AAATAAAAAAAAAAAAAAAAAGGGGGGGGGGCCAGGCAAGAGCTTCCTGCTAAAACACCAACTGCTTCCTTCTCGAGTTCTCCCATGGAGAAATGCTGATGCTGAAGCTTTCCTGGAAGAAAAAGATGCAGGAAACCAGCCTTCCTCCATACTATCCCCATTTTTACCTCCTTCTTCATTTGCTTCAGCTGCTCCAGGAATTTGACATGGTCCCGCTCCTGCTCCAGGCGAATGCGCTTGGCCTCCTCCCGCCGGCGCAGCGAATGATCTTGTTCCATCTTCTCAATCTGCTGCTTCTGCTGCCGTTCGAGGTTTTCCAGTTCAGTGTCATAGAACTTCTTCTTTGTCTGTACAGGAAGGGAATAGAGGTCAACCTCAACCTCCTCTCCCCTTCATTTCCATCCAAAAGTTTTCTTTAAAAAAAGGGGGTGGAAAAAAAGGGGCAGGAGATTGTCCTTGCATGGATTGAGCCTCTTTACTAAACACAGGGGAGAGAAATTTCCAAATAACACCCCCATGAAGCACACAGGGCAGAAACAGCTCTAGGGTGAGCACAAAGCATTGTTCTAGCACTGATGCACTTCCAGCCTTTCTCCTGCTTATGTCCTGATCTGCAACATCCCACTGGGACCCACGGCCCTTGGCAAATATTAGCAGGCAGTGAAGCCTAAGCATAACAGTTCTTTATCTGCAGACAAGGATTTCCAAGTTTGAGAGCACTGCGCTCTGACAGCACCCTTGTGTCTGATATCTCCTTCCCTGTGAGATGCAGAGATGGAGCACCTGAGTGTCAACAAGAGCAGGTTGCAAACTGCCCGAGGGAAAAGGTAAAGGAAGCACTTTTGGGGGTTTTGCACATCGCACTGTGCAGTAACTAAGTCTCACAAATGAGAAGTGACTTGCTAAGATGGCAGTTCAGACATGGCACGTCATGACTAGAAATACAACAGAGCACACAAATGAGCGATGGCTCCCAGCCTGCCACGAGGGGATGGGGTTATGAGGTGCACATGAAAGGTGTATTTAAAAGATGGCTCATGAAAGCTTTAAAGGGACTTATCTACAAAATAATTTTACTTCAATGGAAGCTTCCCACGGAGGGACTAAGTATGTAAGCCCAATTTATCTTTATTCAATTTACACTCAAAGACTTGCCAGATTTCCTGCTGTCACACACTGACCATGATGCTTTCTTATTTAAAGGGGGTTTTTCTGTGAAATACATCAGCACTATAAACTGTTTCTCACAGTAGTTGTGAATGGACAAGAATAAGAAGAGATCATTAAAGAGGGAAAGTCCAGAACAAGCCTTCTCCTGCTACACCCTGTCAGACAATGGCAGTCAGTGCTTCCCAAGCTGCAGGCTGGATGCGCTGAACACCCACAAAAGCCTCTGTCCTCCACAAGCACGTCCCATGCCTCAGATCCCAGAGGGGTTCCTCGTCGGTCCTGCTCCCTCTGGACACCATGCCCCAGGACTGCCACAACCCAGAGAGCATCACCCTGCATGAGCGTTTGCAGGGCATCTGCAGAGAAGAAGTCAAACCAGCTGATATCCAGGAGCTTCCCCTTCCCTGCTCACATACCGTCATTTCTTGCTCGAAGCGCCTGAGCATCTGCTCCAGCTGCAGCTGGTGTTTGCTGTTGAGCTGGGCCTGGTTTCGGTGCTCCTCCTTCTGAAGGAGACGCAGCTCCCGCAGCTCCTGACGCCTGCAGAGGGTTATAACGGAGGGGGAGAGAGAAGTACAGAGTCAGACAAGTTCAGAGGCATGTGTCTGAGCAGAGATGGCAGAATCAATAAGCAGAGCACTTCAGCAGGGAAGGAAAGCTGCACAGCCATCCCGTAGTGCCCTGCCACTTGCTTTGAGCACAAGCAGGAGGTAAATCCCAACTGACTGATGTGCTCTTGGGCTCTGTTACACCAGAACACTACGAGGAAGCAGAATGCTAATTATGGTATCTGTGGGAAAACTGTCATTTTTCATAGGTAAGGCCTGTTAGCGTTCACCGTTTCTCAAACAAGCCCTGTCAAAGCTCCTGAGGTGATTCTGCAGGCACCGCTCCCCCAACCAGCACCCAAAATACCCATTCTGCCAGCTGGGTTAGTGCATACTGGTCTTCAGAACACAGCTCAGGTCAAACTGGCACTGCTCTCCACATCTGTTCTTGCTCATGCCTGGGTGGCAGAAAGGGCAGTTTTCCCAAATTCTGACCTATCTACCACAACATTGCATTGCTCCAGGGATCTCCTGGGAAAAGCACTTTGGAACGATTCCCTCTTTCAAAACAAACTCAAGCCCCATTAAATCAACTGGTGCAAAATGATGTGCTCTCTTCTGATCTCACCTTCAAATCAATACCGTGACATGTTCCAAAAAGCCAGAAGGAAGCCTCTTAAGTGCAAATCAAGGTGTTGGGAGAGTTGATGGTGAATGCTAGCTAGCCCCAGGGGAATAACCACTTCTCCCAAAAGGTGTTGAGGGATTTGATGCTTTCCAACCCAAGTCTCTCTGTCTCTTCCTTGCAGATGGAGCAGGCAGTATTTTAAAAAGAAGCCCTTTTCAGGGATGCCACCAGAGCTGAGAGTGGACTAGGAGAAAGCAGCTATGCGTGGAAATTCCCTGTAGGCTAGTACAAAATTTCCCCATGTTTTATTGGAATTATATGCAGTTCTCACACTGAAAATGAGTAGCTAATAAGCTTCTGCACAGATCTGATATTAAAGCCTAGCAATAAGGCTGCTGCAGGGACACAGTGCTTGGGACAGAAAAGATTCCCAGGAAGCCCCTCAGAGCAGCACAAGGGAGCACAGAATAGGGCAGCAAGCAAAACAATTTGTATTTTAATTAAGGCCCTTCTCATTTCAGTGCTGCTACTGATAGTAATGGAGCTAGAAACAACAGTTTCTCTTCCTGAGAATAGGTCATGGAGGTTTGAAAGCTGTAAGATCTGCAAAGGATTCATAGAGGCTCAAGCAGGGAGGATATACCCATGAATATTAAGTGATGCTCAAGGAGTTTACAACTCCCTTGGCCTTTCTGTTAATGAACTCTGAAGAGATAGAAGAACAAAAGGAAGAGGAACATCTTGAGAAGGTTTCTGTGCTTATTTCCATTGAGCCAGCATATCTACATCACTGGAGACATTCAGTCATCCTCAGATGACAGAGACAGCCACAGCACAAGCTTCCCTCATCATAGCCTTCCTGCATATTATCTTTGAGATGCACTCCTTGTCCCCTTGTTCCCCTCTATGCAAACAGAGCTCAGCTTGTGTGGTACATCAAGCCCTTTGCCAGATAAGGAAGGCTAAAAGAAATGATGTCCACACTGAACAGCTGTCTTGTCCAAGGGGGACCGAGACAGAAAATGAGAGGACTTTAGGTGACTCCTGTGTTTGCTTGTGGAGAATAAAACCTTGCCCTGGATGGCACCCTGACCTCCCTCTATCCCAGTGACCCACTTGCCTGAGGAATCTCATCTCTTCATCCTTCTTCTCATCCTCGCTGATGATCTTTGAGGTGGTGACGCTCACCTCTACTCCATCCACCACAAACTTGCGGGTGCGTTTCAGCGTCTTCTTGTGCATCCGGGAATCCTGAGTTTGGCAGGGGAGGAAAGGAGGAGGCCATGAAGCAGCTGCCTGGTTTGTTGCATGGGGTGCTACAGCTGGAAGCCTCAGAGCAATTTTGATGCCATTATTAATGAAGAGCATAACCAAGGAAACAACATCGAGCAAAAATCAGTCAGTTTGGAGCTGCCATTCAAGCCACGCAGCCTTTCTACCATGTCACATTTCCACCCTGCAGAAACGACCTGGAGGACAGACAACCCACCACCTGAAGACCCTTCCTTGCCATGTCTAACTCAAGTGAAGTCTGATGGGGGATGCTACGGCCCCCCCTGACGCATTGCTGAGGAACCCACACAACAGGAAGCTTGCAATGGCTGCTCTGAAGGCTCCTGGGCCACCTGATCCACCGGTACCCCCCCACACCCTCACAGGTGCAAGGCAGGCAAGGCCCTCACATCAGGCTGTGACTGCAGATGGAGCCACAGGGAAACAAGCCAGCCCTGCCCAAAGGCTCAGTGCTCGTGTCCCTCCTGCCTTCGTTACAATACTTCACTAATCACAGCCAGCTCTGAACCCCTTACAGTGACCTCCACAAAGCACAGCCCAGGCTCACAGGACCCCTGAGTCCTCTCCCAGCAGTGCCACAGCAGGTCAGCATCCCCCTGCAGCGTCAGCAGCCCAAGCCTGGCTGAAGGACTGCATCCAGAGACTCAGTTTCTTTGGCAAAGAAAATAAGGATATGAATAATTTGAATCAGGCAGCCCTACAGGGGAGGCACAGTGGTGGGATGAACAAAGGCTTCCTGAGGTCCTCTTGCTCTTACAGTGATGACCATTACAGATATAGAAGATTATATAAAAGCTCCACATGAACCTGCAAGGCCCAAAGCAAGCCCCTGGAGAGCTTGCTGCAATGGAGGAGCCAGAGAAACTCCGAGGACATGTAACTTGCCCACTGTGTAACAACATACTGTTATAGTAGTGGTTCAACCAACACAGAGAAATTGCTGCATAAGACCAGTTTAGGTCATGAAGACTCTTACTGCCCCAAACTGAATTAAAACAGCTGGCTAAAACTCCCTATTTTCCAGATGAGAGATGTCCACATTCAGCTGTCCGTGCCAGCCCCAGTGCCCATTAACACCATGACTCACTGCCTGAGCCCAGAGACATGGGGATGCTGCAGCTGCATTGTGTCAGGGCCCCAGCAGTCCCCAGGCTCTTCCCCACTGTTGAACAAGCAGTTCACTGCCTTATTCATGGAGCTACCCAAACACAGATCTAAAAACAGAAGTATTCATTTTCTCCTGGTCTTTTCTGTTATCCCTTGGTAGGTGGCCAGCATCCTCTCCTGAACACGAGTAAATGTATTTTCAAACATTCCTGTAAAGTAAATTGTTCTCCAGAGAGGAGTCTGAGAAACTGTGGTCATAGGGGATGCTGACTTTGAGACCCCACTCTGAGCATACTTCACAGCACACATCCCAGTGTGCCTCCTCCAGCTCCCAAGGGTTTCAGCCAAAGCTGTGAACTCCCACTACTCATGCAGGCCAGACTTCAGAACTTCAAGTTAGATACTCAAAAGAAGGAGTTCCCTCCAGAGAAAGTTTGGTTTACCTTTCAAAACTCTATTCATCTCCTTCTGCCTATTTCTGACTGTTTACCAGCTGCAGCCTCCCAAACTCACCTGTAAATTTCTTATTCCTAATCTTTTTTAAAAAAGAAAAGTGACCTGAATACCCTTAATCAAAACTTTTTTTTTTTTTTTTAATAAAGCAACTGGAAAAAGAGTCTGGTAACAAAAGAGTCACCTTAAGTTTGCAGTTAAGCCTGCAATAAAAAGCATGTAATAGTTAATGTTTACAACCAGAAATAGTTTAACTCTTTGCTGCCTCTTCTCTTGCTGCAACCTGCCTGGCACCCTGTGCCTGAAACTGAGCAGCACCAGGAACATAAGCAAGGGCAGAACAGGGGAGTTTAACCCCATGGAGCTAAGGCTGGGCAAGGATCCTGGCTGAGAAGGGAGCAGCATGGCCTGGTACCCCACCATACACTCACAGCTCACTGTGTGAAGCAGAGGCTTCAGCAGAGCATCTTTCCGAGGGCCATTCAGCAGCATCACTCCTGAAGAACAGCTCTGCTTGAATGCCTTACTTGGAAAGATGCCATTTAGTTTGATCTGAGCATTAACTGTGGCTGGGGCAATTCAAACCACGATCTAACATGATCATCTCCAAGACTTAATCCCTGTAAAATCCAAAATAATCCTTTCCTTTCCCCTTCTAGGGGAACCAACAGGGGAAAGCAGTTACACATGTGGCATTATATTAATCTTTGGCTGGGCTCAAGGAGACCAGGTGTCATGGGAAAAGCAGTGAGGAGGGGTAAATTGCTATGCAAGAGCATCACACTTCCTTTATTAGGGATCCACATTGATTGCAGGCTCTTGTGGGGGATGCTGGCTCTCATTCTCACAGCAGGAGACAGGAGGGGAGGGAAGTTTTTCTGAGAATGGTTTTCCGGCACGTTCTGTGCCGGGAAACTATCACTCATGCAGGCAACTGGATAAAGATCTTGTGCAACACATCACTCTGCCCCCTCTAGTCAAACACATTCTTCTTCTGAAACTCAGCAAATATCATTCCAGTTATTTTGCCTCTTCCTCTAAGCCATGCTGACCTGGCTGGTTCTGGCTCACAAGCATTCCAGGCCTCCAAAAAGCTTCAGCAAAAGCCAAGAAGCCTGGGAGGTCTTCACGTAAGTCACTGATGACACAAACCAGGCCAGATGTATAGCAGGTTGAAAAAACAGTGAGTCACAAGCCCAAATAAGATTTCTCTGGGACTGGATGTTCTAGGAATGTCAATAGATAAAGTTTAGGAAATCACATTTTGGGTTTCATACTTGTCTTTGCTCTGACTGTGTATGACTGCCCAAGTCAGGTGAGTGGCACAGTTACTTCATGCTTCTCAGGGAGCCAAAATAGCTAGAAAACATCAGAATTCCCTTAGATTTCAGTGCCTGGGACAGCAGAGGACACATGTATCCACAGCAGCTCCACCAAGAGCTTCTTCACTTGAGGACATACCACGTGCCCATGGGACGGCTTAACTCAGCAGTATGTGCTGTGCTACCCTGAGCCCAGGTGGGACAGGCATCCCATTGACAGGGAACACAAACCACCAAAGGCTTTGCCTAGAGATGGGCTTCCTCCCTTCTTGCTGGCCCTGTGTTTATTTGCAGAGCTCCAAGCCCAGACACGCACACTGCAAGCCCCAGAGCCAGCCAGCCTTTCCAGGTGTCTCACCAAATAGCACTGGGATGGTACCCGAGTGGTCTTTAGCCTCATGCTAAAGCAAGATTCCCAGACCCTCTGTCTCCAATCCAGCCTCTGTCCTCTCCTACTTTACCTGCTCCCCACCTTCAGGCGCAGGGCAGACTAGGGGCAACTCACTTTCTCCTCCTGTAGTCATGGTGCTTTCTCAGGAAAGAGTTTAAGGGGCTATGGCCAAAGAGTGCATGTGCATGGCCTCTCAAGAAAAGGATTTGAATTTCAGGAACTTGGCTAAAAAGGAAAAAAACACCCCAGCACTTTTTAACAGAGGTTTGTTGCCTTTCCTTCTCCACGCTCTCTGCCCCCCACTCTCACCTTCAGGGAGATGGACCCACTCTCTCTGTTGAGGGACAGGTCAGCAGACAGGGAGATAGTGAGGTCCATGCTTTCGGAGGCTGAAGTGCTGCCAGAATCTGAATCCCCTTTGGACCGGCTGCCAGGGAATGGAGCTGGGGGATCCAAGCTCCCATTGGCAAGCTTCTCCTCCATGAAGTTCTCCAGGTGGCTGCTCTCTGGCCGCTCCCCAATGCTCTTCCGCTCCTTGCTGCCTGGCCTCGGCTGCTTGTCCCTCTCTGCTGAGTTGCCCAGCTGTCCAGGCTGTGAGATGATGTCTGGCTTGCCCTGGCTGGCCAAGGTGGCAGAGCCAGCGAGGGTTTTTGTGGAGTGGTTGGTCTCCAGTTTGTCATTGTCACTGCTTAACCTGTCATCTGAGACTTTATCACTCTGTCCATCTGTGGTCTCCTTGCCAGTCCTCACAGGCCCATTCACTGCCTTGGCCAAGGAAGAGTCTGGAGGCTTCTCCCCATCAAAACTCAGCTGACTTGCCTCAGAGGGGTCCCGCTTGTGTTTTCCAGGGGGCTAGAAAGACAGCAAAGGGAAAGCGTTGAGTTTTGTACCATCACTTTAACACAACTGCAGACATGCAAGTCTTCATGCTTCACAGCAAAGTCACCCACAGGTGAAGAGTTATTGGGAGGAAATCTTCCCTTTTAGGACATCAGCCCTGGGATACTTCTATCTTTCTCCAGGTTTGTGATCCCAAGGACTATGGACATTGGCTGGAAGGAAACAGCACAGAGGGGAAACTCCAGAACCCGCAAATTCTTAAGAGGCAGCCTAGGAGATTACATATCAAACACATTTTCAAATGGCTAACTCCACCACAGATTAATCACCATCCTCTCCCACAGATGAGGGAGGTCGAGGCAGGTGTTCCAGCAAAGCTGCTCAGGCAGCCTTGATATGTCCCCTTCAAAGAGCCCAGCTCAGGGGCAGATTTGCCCATCTCCCTCCTAGGGCTGGTGGTGCCTCACTGCTGCACCACGTGCTGCTGGCACTGCTTCCATTCTATCTTCTCCAGCCTGCACCAGGGCCTACATTTCAATTTTTTTTTTCTTAATTTTTTTAAACACTTTTTGCAAGCCCCTCCTGCAAGCAGGCAGCTGAGCCACCCACCAGCATCATTGTTTCTCCATGCCCTTGGCAGCCACCATATAAACAGCCCCTTTCTGGCCAAGCAACTGCTTCCTCCTCCACCTGATGGGGCCCAGAATAGCTGTAAACCAGCCTTTTGGAGCCGGGCTCTTTCCCCCCGCCACAGATGTACTGGCAAACTTGCCAGTACAGGGCCAAGAGCACTCACTGAGGCAGATTCTGATGAGTCGTCGTCTTCTACTTCATCCCGACTGTCCTCAATCTCTTCCATCACCTCAGCCTTGGCCTCAGCCACCAGCTCGCGGAGGGCCCGGTTGCTGGTCACTTTGCTGACAAAGGGATGCTGAAAAGCCAAACACAATACACACATGTGAGGTGGCCAAAAAATTAACTTCATGAGTTTGTGGCCAAGTGAGTACCTGGAAATGGTGGTGGCAAGAACCACTTCTTGCTTTAAAACAACTGTAGAGGCCCAAGGACACAGTTCTTGCCAGTGTCACCAGGCTTAACCTCCCAGACGAATTTACAGATACGTGCCGAACGTATGAGGAAGAACAAGAGAGAACACGATGCCGAGGTTAAGCACCAGCTCTGCACAGATGCTCCAAGTGTGGTTCTCTGCAAAGCTGCTTTATGTCAACATCCCCTAAACAAAATCACCAGCTGCATTTAAACAAGGGGCTCTCACTGCTGAAGAGACGCTCCCCCTCCCTGCAGGCAGGCTGAGCTCCAGGGTGCAGGTCCGAGCTCACAGAGTGCCACCAGGAGCAGGGCAAGAGCCGGTCTGCAGGATCCCTGAGTGCAAACAGAGCATGGAGAAAAGTTTAATTGAAATCAGGCTTGAATCGCTCAGCGCACACAGCAGGGTGTTTGTGTTGGGCTTCAGCAATAGGCTGTGGAGCCCCTCGGGTTCGCAGGATGGGAAGCGTGCAGCCAGCGTGCAGCGCTGCGAAGCCAGAGCGTCTACAGCCAGTGGGGAGAAGCATCTTCCAGGTTTTTGCTATTATTTTTAAAAGGGACAGGAGGAAAGGAAATGAGTTTAATTTAAATCTGGGATAACCAGGTATAATCCAAACTGGCTGCACCACAGAGGCCTTTTTTAGGCAGCGGGAGCCATTTCTATTCCAGCTGGTGCGCACAGGGGCTCTGCAGATTGCTCCAAAGGGAAAAGCAGGGATGTTCCTTTCTGGAGTATTTTAGTGGCTGAGAAGTACTATGAACTTTCTAAACAAGACAAAAATAATCTGAATCCAATCTAGATCCCATCAACACTTTTCTTTTTTTTTTTTTAAACCCTCCTTAAGGAGAATCAGGCTGTACAGACACGGGTGGTTCAGACACTCGCAGACCCAGCCCAGGGGCCAGTGCTGGTCCCTACCTCCAGAAGCTGGGCAGCACTGGGTCGGGTCTCTGGGTTCTTGTCCAACGCTGTCTTCAGGAAGTCTCTGAACTCCAGGGACCTTAAAACACAGTTGTTGGCAAGAATCTCAAAAGAGGGAAAAGCCTCGAATGCCACAGGGGTCTGCCTGATCCCTTTGCAGGTTGTGTCCCAGTGTGCAACTGGCCATAATCACCATCTCACTCCCAGCATGGGAAACCCTGTGCTCAGTTATTCCGATTATTTCAAAGAGAATGAGCAACACGGCCAAGTGAAGGACTAGATTTTGCCTTACCTGTGATGGCAACAGACGGTGGGACTGAGCACCAGCCACTGTGCCCCAGGGCCAAGGTGGAGAGATAAGAGAAGACACGAGCACTTATCCTCCAAAATGGAGCCCACGGGTGGAGCTGCTTGTGGACAAGGATGCTTCGGATCCATCCCCACAGCCACAATGTGAAAGGATGGCTGTGAAGGATCAGGAACCCCATAGGAGGGCACCCTCAGCTTGCAAAGAGCAGCTCTGAAATACAGAGCATGTCCCTGATCCAGTCCTGGCTCCTGAGCTGCTCCAGAGGAAGAGCTCCCACCCTGCCTGCTGTGTTTTAATGGTGGGCCTGCTACCTGAACTGCTGTAACAGTCACAACGCTTATAACTCCAGTGCTCTCCCAGTATTTTGCTGCTGGCTACCATGCAGTGGGTTTTATCAAAAATCAAAAAATAAGAATTCACTGGTTGAATATTTTTAAATGCAAAAGAGGCTTTCCAAATTCCAGGAAAGAAATCCTGGAGCTCTTGGCCATCTCCAGGTTTAGAGGAAAATCTGCCCTTCATACAAAACAGGGACATTCTGAAAACCACCAAGGGATCACCCTTGCTTTAGCAGGGCTGTGGGTGGGCAGCAGCTCCCTGCCTTCAGCCAGTAGTGCTTTCAGGGCCCCTAGCACATAGCTGGACCTAGAATACAGGTAGAATCCTACACCGGGCTCTCAAATTAAACAATAACTCTAGAAAAGACTATTTTTTCTCTCCTGAAATACTGTGTAAGTTGGGAAATGCATACTCTGCTGGCCAGAACCCCTCACCATTTGGAAGGGCAGCTGAGCGTTGGGGGGTCAGACTTGGCAATCTTCAGCAGGACTCTCATGGGGTTGAGCTCGTGATGGGGTGGCTCAATCTGAGCCATTTCAATCAGCGTGATTCCCAGGGACCAGATGTCTGCCTTGTAGTCATACGGAGTGTCCTTCATGGTCTCGCACATCACTACCTCCGGGGCCATCCTGCAAGGGGCAGAGCAAGGAGCAGGGATGGGGAGGGATGACCCCAATGCCACACAATGTGAGCCTTGCAGCAGCAATTAAATAATCCACAGCATTGCATAAAAAACCCCAGCCTTTCCTTCTATCTCTGGGTTTCAGAAGAAGCATCTTTTTTAAGGGGTCCAACCCCCTCCCTCTTCCACAGCCCATCAGAGACAGCCCAGGCAGCCTGTGGAAACCCCCAGGCCATTGACATCTGGCGCGGATGTTGCTTCAGACAATAAATTTATCCTCGCCAATTCCGTTCCTTCAGCAAGTCGGGTGATTTAGAGATTGCATTTCTGGAGCAAGGAGTCGTTCCCATGTGCTTGGAGTTGCTTCAAAGCCCACTCCACCCCCTGCGTTGGGGGGAGCCAGGAGCACACACACACACGCGAGCACACGTGTGCCCCTTGGCTGGCACAGGGCACCCTGACACCCGGCAATACTCCCGCACCACCAAGGCTGCTCACAGCTCTCTTCAGGCAAGGCACATGTGGACACTGTCCAGGACTCCTTGTTAAAAATCCTCCCACCTGTGCTCAGTAAGACACCATGGACCAACACACCCCAAAGGCCATCAGCTCCCCATTTCTGAGCAAGGCTGATTTTCAGAAGAGAGAAGCTCCTCATGAACACAGGATTTCTTAGCAGGCAGGTCACTCACCAGTAAGGGGTCCCAATGAAGGAGTCTCGCTTCTGCAAGGTTTTCATGTTCTTGGCAGACACTCCAAAGTCAGCTGCAAAGAGCAGTAACATTAGATGCTGTAGGAAAACTGAAAGACCCTTGTGAATTAGCACACTTGGCTGAAATGCAGATTTAAAAGCAAACACACATTTAAGGCAAGAACATGATACAACGTGCTGTTTCCTCTAAACTGAGCATCAGAAATTAAATTTGCTTTTGGGTACATAACCACCAGGGACCTTCCCTCCTATGTACTATAAGACAGGGGCATAACAAGCCACTTTTACCATAACCCAAACTCTATACATCTAGAGGGAAGTCGAGATCTTTTCCACAGACAAACAAAAGCAGCTCCATAGCAGATTACTTTCAGGACTGCTATTTCATAGCAAAAAGTCTCATTTTACACCAGAAAAAACAAAGTGCTGTTACATTCATTCTCTTCCCTTCAGCCCCACGCACAGTAGCCACCGCATGATGCCTTTCTCTGATTTTGTCCCTTCTATAGACAGCTGCTGAAGACAACCCAACTCAGATCAAATTGGTAAAACCCTAACAGATTACCAAGCCCAATTCAGGTCAGTTTGCTCTCCAAGATGGCTCTGATGACCACTGGGGGAGCTGTTATCCATCTGCACCCTAAGCACAGGGTGTCCCTTGGCCCAAGCTAGCTGGAGCACAACCCATGGTCACAGGAAGGTTTCTATATTCCCAGGCTGGGTGGTCTCCATCAGCACCCACAGACACATCCCAAGAACACCTCACAGCTGCCAGCAACCCTCATTAGAGCCCAGAAGTAGATCTGCACCTTTCTGACCTGTCCCTACAGACAAAACTACCTTCTCATCCCCCAACAGGTAGCTGGATGCCAATTTAACTCAAGCCAGCAAGTTGGCAAAGCAACCCTTTGGCAAAACTCTCCCTGTCACCACCAGACTTGCTCTGGAGATAAGACAAATTCTTCCAGTTCCCAGCCCTGCCAACTGGCACCCTGCACAGGATGCTTAGCGGCCAAAAAGCATAAAAATCAAGTTCAAATAAGGATTAAACAAAATCACAAAAGGAAAGTCCATCAAGGGCCTAAGCACAGCTGTGGCTCAGGGAGTCTTGGTGCCTGGCTGGGGGCTAAGCACAACACACAGCATGATAGTAGATTTGGCCTCCCATAAAACAATACAAAGTCTTCCCCCACCTTCTCCTGCCTGAGCTCATCAGCCAGCAGACAAGCAGCTCATGTCCCACAGGCAGGGCAGAAGGCAGAGAGCATCCCTCAATCCCCACCACACTCAGGCATAACTGAACACTACAATCCAGCTCCCAGCAGCACATGGCTGTCATTAGTGTAGTGTGAAATGGCTCCAGGCAGCACCATCACCCACGGCCGCCCTCCCAATGAGCTCGAGCTTGGCCGAGCAAGTGCCTGCCCTGTGCCTGTGCCAGGCAGCTCACCAAGTTTGATGTCCCCATCCTGGGTGAGGAGCACATTGCCTGCCTTCAGGTCACGGTGGATGATCTTTTTGCTGTGGAGGTAGTGAAGGGCTTCCAACATCTGGCGGCAAATCACTTGAATCTGAGGTTCAGTCAAGCCCCGGTCCAGCTCTGCAGGGAGGGAAAGTGCTATTAAAAAGGGCAGGGATTCGAGCGATGCTCCACCTGAGCAGCAGAAAGGCACAGACTACCCAGCAGACCATTTAAAACCACTGTCCATGGGTGAAAGCAGCGGGACACCAATGCAAATCAGCTTGTTAAGGTAATTTATTCCCTAACCCAGCACTCATAGTGCAATGCCTGCCTGCTTGGAGCTGCTGGTTTAGAGCTCCCTCCCAGGGATACATGGCTGAGGCATCTGGCAAGGGATGATGAGTGGGATGAGGAGGGGGAGCCAGGCATGCCTGCGACAGGGAGCTGCACTGCAAGTTCCCCATCGATCTGGGAAATGGGTCCCCAAAGACAAGCTGGATCTCACCCAGAGTGGGAACAATGCTGCAGAGAGGAGTGAGCGGAACTTGGCTGCAGGCAGCAGCAGGGTCAAACACAGGTGTGAACATCAGCAGCGCCATATGCAGCCATGCTCTCATCCCCCAGGGAGCTACCCCTGTCAGAGATGCAGCATAACTCCATGTACATCATGAGGGACACGCCACTGCCCAAAGCAACAAGCAATAAAATGCTCACCAGCATTATCCCTACCCCCTGCTCTGAGCTGGTTTTTCAGGTAGCACCACGTACCAGCACAGCAGTTCATACCCTGTCTGTCCCTATTTCTGAAGCTTGCGGGGACATGCAACCACTGGTGTGACCTCCTGCTGAGCTCTGCCTGGCCATCTTTATCATCCAAGATTGCTTTGCAAGGTGACAGCTCTGCAAACCATCAAACTTCCAGATGGTTAGCATCCTCTGAGCTTCCCTCCCTCCTTTCGCAAGCCCTTCGCAGTGCAGATCCCTCCTCTAGCACAGCTGAGCATGCAGCAGAGCAGATCAAGCCTTAGACAACTCCAACTGCCCAAACTGCCTGGTCAGGATGGGGGCTGACAGACGGACCCCAGCAACTGGGACAGATGCTCATTACAATCTTAACCACAGGCTGAGGGATGCTGGGTTCCTTCTCTTCCTCACCAAGATCTCCCTTGCTCTGGGGGAAGCTGATGACTTTCATTCTTCCTGTAGAATCTGGCAAAAGTGTGGTGTAGCAGGCCACAGGTTTTGTACAAAAGATTTCAAAGGCAAATGCCAGTTGCTGGCAGGGATGGGGGGGTGGAAAAAGCAGCATTCAGCAGCTCTGAATTTACCAATGCCAGGAGCATTCCTGAGCTCTGACTTGCAGGTTCTCCTGCCCCTCATTTGGGGGTGCTGGCACTAAAGTCAGGCCACTTGCTCATGGTTTTCCATGCTCCCCCTTCCCAGGTCGTCCAGAGACTGACTGCTATGGACACAGCCCCATGAATACTCAGGGGGATTTTTGTGTCCCAAGAGACAAGGCAACTCTGTTGAGGTTTTCCAGGAGGAAGGCATCATTTCCTCCAGCACTTCAGAAAAGGTATTTTAAAGCAGGTCCAAATCACTGCATGAAAGAGGCTGCACAAGTTTTAGGGGCTGAATCAAAGATGACAAATTTGAATCCATACTTTTCCTGGAAATAAACAGAAAGGCAGGCCTTAGGAAATATTGGATCTGAAAGGGAGTATCTCCTGTAGAGACTTGGCTCTGTCCCAGGGGCTTCAGGCAAGAGGACAGGGAGAGCCACGCAGAGGGGATGTCACCCCCTTGGGGTCCGTACAGCCCTGGCACAGAGGGGCTGTGGCACCAGTCAGGGCTGTTTTGGGGAACACCCACACACTCCCTGTCCCAGCGGATCTATGTGGAAGGGAGGAGTTAAAAAATGGTAAGATTCCTGGAATTACTGCAAACTGCAGTTTATTCGGATGCTCTGCTGCTTCACCAGATGACCGATACCATATGGAGAAGTCAGCAAGAAGATCATGGGAGATTCATCATAACAGGCACCCAAATTAAACATCTCCGCCCCACTGCCCTTCTTGGGAAGCTGTGGGAATAGGATCCGGAGCACCCAGTGTCTCCGGCAGATAGATATTTAAAGCCATCCTTCCCCTCTGGCCAGACTCTCCCTTCTCCTCATGTCTTGTGATCTGCTGATCCCAGTAGCATTTAAATCACAAAGGACATCAAAGTAGCTCAAGAAATGCCCCAGAGCTGCCACACCTTCTGCTTCAGGTATGAAAATAGGCAAACTCATGGGAGAGAAGCAGTAGCTGGAGAAGCTGGGGCACCCACGTCTGCTGTCTGTCCGAAGGTTGCCCCTGAAAGCGTGCCAGAAGGCTGGAAACACCTTCCCCGAGCACGGAGAAGAGCCCAGTACCACACGCTGCACTCACCTAGCATGGTGGCATCCACCGCCCCGCCTGGGCAGAACTCAATCATGATCTGGGGAAACAAAGAGAGAGGAATTAAAGTCAGGTCCACATCTCACTGAGCAAAGCCCACCGGCTAGGTAAGAGGAGACAAAAGCCTTAAGGTTTGCTTCCCTGCATGGCAAAACTGCCCCTTTGCCCCACAAGGGATGCAGAGACTTCAGTGCTCCCCAGGACACATCCCCCAGGCACCCCTAGCTCGAACCCAAGCCCTGGGGGCAGACCCCACACACTGCCCACAGCAGCATCTCAGAGGGACTGTCCCCACGTCTGTGACACACCCAGCCATCGTGCCTGGCCCCTTACCTGGACACCCACCCTGAGCAGCCAGCTTCAGCTCCGGCTTCCTCTCTGTTTACATCTCTTCCCATTGCATTTGGAGTGAGGGCTGCTCCAGAGAGCGGCCTTGCCAACAGGATGAGATAGCTGTCATAGCTGGGAGCTGACGTGGCCGGGAGAAATCAGGCAGCATTTTCTTTGGCAAATGAGAGATGGGGAAGGCTCTTGGGTCTTCAATTTTTTTTACTTTTTCTTTTTCCCCCATTGCTCTCTTGATTTTGAGTAATTTGAAAGGAGTCAATTAAGTCAATAAAGAGGTCGAGTACATTTAACAGATTGATGCTGTTTCTCTCCCAAGGACATGCACAGAGTCCTGCCACTCCCCCCACCTGCCTGCCTGGCTCCTGATGTCTCCACACAGGGTGGGCAGCACCCACTGGGTGGGCCCTTCCCCAGCACCTCAGGGATGCAGGTCCTCTTCCCCCTCACCTCTGCACAAACTCAGCCAGAGCCTTTCCGGGGTGGGGCTCAGTGCCAGCCCCCTGCTCCCCACTCCCCTTCGGGGCAGATGAGACTGCTCAGACAAACAGATTAAAATTTCAAGTAGTCAGGGGTCAGGAGGGAGAAGAGATGCTTCACCTCCCCGACCAGCTCTTCTCCCCGTCGAGGCGACACAGGGCAACAAACCGGAGAGGTGAAATGCCAGAGTTTATTTTGAGGACAACAACTGAACAAGCCAAAGGCGGTGTTTACCAGTGCAGCGGCTCTAAGCCCTTCAAGTGGAGGTCACGTTATTCAAAGCAGCTCTAAGCACTGGACTGGGAGACAAGAAGAGAAAATTCAAGCTCCCTCTCTCCCATGGTCTAACGCTTTAGCTCCAGGCGAGACACATCCCACCCTTTTGTCCTGCAGTTCCTACACATGGACAAGGGAAACACTATCGACCTGCACTGTGGCGGAAGACAAACTGCTTTGTTTTGGAGGAGAAGGGGGAGCAGGATCAGGTGCTGGGATGCAGCAAACCTTGAACTGCTCTGCGAGAATCGGCCCGGGTCCAAGAGTCAGAGGGGAGACAATGCTGAGAAAAGAAACCCAGGCAGGTTGGGCAGCATGACACAGGCACCACTGGAGGAAGCAGAGAAGCATAAACAGAGGCCATGGCTGGGGAAGCATTTGAAGCAGGCAGAGGGAGAGAAGTAATTGGGAAGACATTTGAACCATTTGCAAACCAGGAAAAGAAATCGGCACTGACTCAAGAGTTGAGCAGAAGCCTGGCAGGGAGGAAGCCAGTGGGCCAGCAAAGCCTTTGCACAAATGCACGTCAAACTGCTTTTATTGCTCAAGTTTATAGTTTGAATCAGAGCATCAGCAGCTTCATTAGCAAATGGAAAGGCAAGAACTGCCTCCTGCCATGGTCTCCCCTGACACAGAGATCCCCACTGGACCGCTGTGCCCCATCATCACCCCCAGCGCAGCTCTAGGAAGCTCATTTCAACCAATTATTTTTATAGTGCTCCTCATCATGTTCATCAGAGCAGACAAACGCCACCAGTGGACACCAACTCTTCCTGGGCTCCTTAGAGCCCAAAATACCAGAAGCAAGTCCTAAACAAGCCCAACACCAATGAAAACTTGGCAGCTGGAAGGGCAAGAGCCTTCCCTCACTCTGGGAGGCCAAGGGGATGTGCAGGGCTCTGCTGGCACAGCCAGCCTGGTGACAGTACCTCCACACACTGATACCGTGATCCTGCCCATGGGACCTCCCCTCTGCCCAACCACCCAACCTGCTGCTAGCCCAGAGCAGCCAAGAGTGAGCCACTGCTGGCTGCGTTACCCAAGCCCACGGCGCAGCGTTTGCAGTGGCTGCAGACAGACAGTGCAGACCCGATCCCATGCAAGGCTGAGTATCGCAGCTTTGTGCTGCTCTGGCTGGCAGAAAACCTGCCCCTACAAATGATCCTGTCTCATCACTGAATCACAGTCCAAGGTTCCATTCATCTCACATGAGCAATCCTTTCCTGCTCCGGCCGATCCAGGCACCTCAGGAACTCACCTGCCCAAAGAGGGTGGTCTCCAGGTTCAAGCAATAGCCTCCCTTACATTTCATCAGCAGAGAAAGCCTGATGAGAAGCTTGTCTGTGCTACCAGGCTCAGCTCTTGAATTCAAACAGTCCCAAAACTTCAAACAGCCCATCCCAAACAGCTGCTGACATGGCCTTTGCCATCCAGGTGACTCAGGTGCTTTCATTGCTAATGCTCAGCAAGCAGATTTACAGTTTCTGCCTCTTTGTTGTCCCAACTAAATGAAGTCCCCTGGAATCTCTGACAGCCCTCCTACACAGTCTCCAGATTGAAAAACGTGATTTTAATTTTGAGTGGCAAGACACATGGAGGGCAGCCAGCTGGGTCACAGCCACAGCCACACTGGTCAGCAGAGCCCCCAGGAGCCCAGCATGGCCCCCCCTGGGCAGATGCTGTGCTGATGCTTCCTACCAGGGGCACAGCTGAAGTGTCAGACACACTGAGCTTGTAAATGGGGAAGGGCCCAAGACAACACACCTTACTCTGGATCTGCATGGGATACATTTCATCTCTCAAAGTTTTGTTTGGGTTCGCAATCTAGCAATGAGAAAATTAGGGAAATCAGTCCATCTGAACCAGCATTACTGTGTATGTTTATGCAGGCACAGCAGGCTGCAAGCCAGGCAACTGGGAATATGGGAAATATGGAAAACTAAAAAATATGCATTTTCAACAAGGGCAGAGATGCCAAAGAATAATTAGGGGTGTGGTCAGCTTGTCTGAACATCCAAAAATCTAATGGGCTCGTTTCAGCCCAGAAAACCTGACTTAAACAAATGGAACTGGCAATCCCATAGCTCATACACCAGCACACTTCCTTCCAGGAGCAGGGCCAGCCTGAGAAACACTTTACCATTGAGGCAGGTAGGAAGACAGACCCGGTGGCAGCAGCACGCAGCAGTCTCTGTGCGCAAACTGGGGGCTTCAGGGAGCTCCGGGAGAGCGGAGGCTGAGCAGGCACCCTCCCCAGCCCGGCAGCAGGGAGGGGGACGGGAGGGTGGTTGCTGACACCCTGGGGCGGGCAGCTTGCCGCTTTGGCTGTGATGAGGAACGAGCTGGGAGTATCCTAGAAGAGAGCTGTTAACAAGAGCCTGTGCATCTGTGCAGCCAGGAGGCTGGTGATTTACCCAAGATCTGCAAAGAGTTTAACTCCTTGCTTAGGACTGTTTCCATGTGTTTTCACATATGGGCTGAATACTCCTTTACTGAGATGTCCCCAAGCTACTGCTGGAGCAGTAATGGCTCTAGTAACAGTGGCAATCTCAGTGCTGCACTTTGCTTCTCAACACTGGGCTGCTGCCCGCGCTGTGCTCAGCTGCCCCCAGCAACCCCCCTGCAAGACCTAGGAACCAGCACAGGGCTCACTGCAGAGGCACAGCAGCACCCCAAAACAGAGATTTCATGCATCTGGGCCCAAGAAAACAGAGATACAAGGCCCGTGGGGGGGTCTGCCCCAATGCTGACGTCCCAAAAGCAGCTCCTTCACACTAGAGTGGAGGGGAGCACCCAGACCTCCTCCTCCTCCTTCCGCTTGGGGTCTGGGTGATGGGGGTCTGAATGTCCAGACTAGAACAAGGCTGGAGCAAACATCCTGTTTATAATGATTTCCTCTGCACAAGAAATCCATGGACTTCCTCGCTGAAGGCTGCCCAGCCCCTCCGCGGCGCTGGGCTGCCAGCAGGACACTCAGCAGCAAGAGCAGCTCTCTCCCTCCCGCTGCCACCTCAAAGCTGTTATAAAACCCAAGGATTACACACTATGGGCATTTTAGTTTTCAGTCCACAGGCAGTTGCAACTACACCTCTCAGGCACACGCAAATTTCACTGCTTGCTCCCATCACTGAGCTATCTGCGCGACACGACGGACTGACGGCTGCCTTACAGCACAGCCAGAGCCTCGCGGTCTCAGCTCTGACACCACAGCCAAGAAACCCAGCCACCGCGCTGGGCTCATTCACAGCTCGACGGGGACACACGAGCTGCACGCACAGGAACAGACTTGGGCAGCTGGTTTATGGACAGAGAAAGGAACCCACTCTTGCTACCTCTCAAAACTTTTGTACTACAGTTTGAGCACTGCTATTTCAAGAAAAAAAAAAATGGCCCTTTTCACCTATACCTTTAGTGAAACAGCATAAATGAAGAGGTCTGCATGTAGAAGCCACATAATCCTTCCCTTGCAAGAAACTTACATGAGCAAAATAAAATTTAAACTGCAATTTGAAAGCAAAAGTCCAGTCAAGTTTAAGGGCTTTGCTGGTGACCTTGATTCTTCCCATGCGTCCCTAATCTTGCCTTTAGGCACTGCAGGACCTGGAAGCATTGTGTAGCCCAAGTGGGAGCAGGACACACAGAGTGGGCTGGGGCTCTTTTCTGGGCTGCTCAGGGAGTAAGTGACTGCCTGGGAGGGGAGGAAGCAGGGTCCAGTGAGCCTGGGGGTGCCCAGGACAATAAATATACATACATATGTATGAAACAGCTCTGGATTAAATTAAGTGCTCTTAAAGACACAGGTCTTCAAGTTGTACCTGAGCAAGGAGGCACCATACATTACGAAAAAGTATTACATGACTTTGCAGCAGATTGTACATTGTGCCAGAATTCCCCTGGCACCTCACACCAGACAAGGGGCAGAGAGACACCAACCCATAA